TACCCAGATTCCTCAGTATCTCCTTTAATCTAGTCATTTTTAATGCTATCAAATATTGANCTTGCTATTACCATAAAGACATTTTCATCGCTATTGAGGGCACAAATAAAAAGTAAGCTATTTCAAGTAATTTTTGGTGCAGAGATGAATTTATTGCTGACGAGATCAATTTAACAAAATTTGTCAGTGGTCAGCAAATTTATGACACCAGTACCCCTCACACCTTACCCGTTTCCTTCAAACTGGAACCAACAGAAACTTCACATGGGTCTATCCCGTGATGTATCTTGGCCATCTTCTGGTATTCCTAATCCACTTCCCCTAATTTTAATGCAAAGTGAAACCAGCTGAGTGGTTATATTGGTGTTTTCACACAGTTGTAGGACTTGCGTACAAGATCGTCTTGGATGAGTACCAACGTATCATTCATTTTCAAAACGTATCATTCGTTATGATCGTGGAAGAAAACGCGCCTTAACGGATTTTGAATACTTTTGTCGCCATGGATAATGAATACTTCAGGTATTAGTATTAATTTCCAAGTTCTAGCAACTAGAACCAGAATGTTCTCCCATGAGTTCTAGTATTTGGAGTATGATTCTAGTATCTATTAGCTGGATAGCGGTATCTATAGCGATTTGTTCGAATATCCAGTGTTAGATATAGTGTTAAAAGTGACTACAACCAGAATCTAGTAGTTGATTCTAGTATTTAGTGGACGATTTCATTATCTAGTTCTTAGATGTAGTATTCATAGTGATTAAATCCAGTGTTCATGCAGATTGGACATCATTATATCCTTATATTATCATTATATTATCATAATATTATCATTATAGTGGTTGTCATTATCTATTGTAGATGATCGTAATATTATTTAGATAATTCCAGCATTGAGATTGTTGGAATTCACAGTGTCCAAAAGCTAGACAGAGTTTTCATAGTCATTAGAACCAGAACGTAGTGATTAGTCCTAATATCTAATAGATTATTCCAGTATCCAGTTGTTGGATGCAGTATCTATACTAATTGTTCCTGTATTCACCATAACTCTAATGTGCAGTTGTTAAGTGCATGATTACACTTAGTTTCAGATCCGTAGCGATGGGTTCAAGTCCTCAGATGTTACTATATCGTATATATAATAACACAGATCTGCAAGATTTTGTTGTCGGTCAGCTGAGAGTAATTTCCGAAGTAATTTTCTACGTAGAATCATAGGCTTTTTTGACTACTGTTGAACTTATGCAATATTTTTTTTTTAATACTCTTATGACAAAGTGTTACGAAACTCTTTCGTTTTGAATCTGACGATATTCCTCCAATTTCAACAAACTTGAAGAACAAAATATGACGATTTCGGTTGTAACACTAGTGACCTTCGAGAATATCAAGACATCGATTAACTTGATTATGAAAACTCTATTTTCTGCCGGTTCTGTATGATCAGACTGCACTAAATGATTTGGTTAGGGATTTAAGTTTACCTAAAGATAAATTTGAACTGCTAAGTACACGACTAAAAGAGATAAATCTTCTTGCTCCTGTACCTTCTCTTGGTGTAGAAATCGAGAGAAGTCATTTATTGAGTTCTTCTCTGAAGGTTGTAGCTATGTTTATTATCATTACAATAAACATCATAATATACCATAATATCCACATACAATATATGTGGACATTTGAAAATTACTGGATTGCTTCTTGGACAACATCTTCAAAGAAGATGTCAATGTGATGCTAAAAAATTAGGTTGTAACACGAGCATGAAGTTACACTATTTGCTTGCACTCTCATATACATTGGTTTCCTGGCAATTTAGGCGATGTAAGCTAAGACCAAGGAGAGCGTTTCAGGATGTAAAAGAAATGGAAAGACGGTATCTGGAAAAATGGTCCACATCTATGCTAGCCGATTATCACTTCAACGTGATGAGCCACATGCTTAACACAAGAGGTGATCTACATAAGCAAAAGAGATTCCATAAATGTAAAATACAATACTAAATTCGGACTGGCGTGTGCCCTGCATCCGACAATACTGATCCATATGCTGGGTTCTAACTCATTACGTCATTTTAAAATGTCCATAATTTATAATGGAAAAATCGTACAGCACCATTCGAGAGCGCATTTTGAAGAGTAAGGATAGTACTATATGATGAAATAGATAGAATGCAACAAAATAATATTGTGCGTCTCAGACATAACTTCCAAAGTTGCCAAAAAGCCATTTTTCTTGTATATAACCTCAATTATTTCAAACTCCTGGTACAATTATGAGCTCGAATTCTGATTTTACGCAGAAAATTACATCGGAAATGATCGTCCGCCAACCAACAACAATCAACACCCCTTTTTCGCAGTTATGTGTAATTAGTTCCAGTATTCAGTGGTTGATTAGTATTTAGTAGATGATTCCAGTATAATTCGACAATTGCAGCGTAAAGTGGAAGGTTAAGTATCTATCAGTACTGAGCTAATCAGTACTGAGCTAATCAGTACTGAGCTAATCAGTACTGATAGATACAGTTAGATCAGGAGTAACCAGAAATCCAGTAGATGCTTCAGTATTTAGTGGATGATTCAAACATCTTTACATCACTTTCTTGTAATGCCTGGTTCATATTATTCCAGTCCAGTAATATAAGAATTCGCAATCTAACACTGGATTGACCATCTACACTATTTCAGTGGTGCTGTAATGGGCAAGCTGGAGTGAAAAAGAAGACCGTTCAATCCAGTCCACTGGAATAAGTACATTTCAGTGCATTCTAGTGTCGGTTCACATTATTCCAGTGGAATTCCAGCACTGGTTCGATCACTGGACTGGAGTACTACTGGAATAATGTGAAACGGGTATAATACCTTGCATTTGATACCGGAAAGACAATGCATAACTTAAAACAAAATTTTTTTTTATAAACCATCTAATATTTTCAGTTATAAATTAATGTATTAAAGCGTGTCTTCAAAGGCTCACAATCAGACAAAGAGAACCACATTTGGGATTAGGAAAAAAATCTTGAATTGAGTACCCAGATTCCTCAGTATCTCCTTTAATCTAGTCATTTTTGTGTCAAATATCAAATATTGAGTTTATTTGTTTAACAAAATTTTATTAAACTCAAAAAGTTTTAATCAGCAAGTTTAATTGTATCGAATATGATACAATCTAGATCTTGTGTTAGTTCTAGTGATAGTGCTAGTGCAAAAGTAGAACTAACACAAGACCTAGAACTAGAATCATTCGGATTTAGCCGCACGTCTCTCAAGACGGCTAAACCCGAATGATTCTAGTTCTAGGTCTTGTGTTAGTTCTAGTTTTGCACTAGCACTATCACTAGAATCATTTGGGTTTAGCCGTCTTGAGAGACGTGCGGCTAAACCCGAATGTTTCTAACTCTAGGTTTTGTATTAGTTCTAGTAATAGTGCTAGTGCAAAACTAGAACTAACGCAAGACCTAGAACTAGAATCATTCGGGTTTAGCCGTCTTGAGAGACGTGTGGCTAAACCCGAATGATTCTAGTTCTAGGTCTTTTGTTAGATCCAGTGATAGTGCTAGTGTAAAACTAGAACTAACACTAGACCTATTTATATCTATACACTAGAAATATTCGGGTATGGCCATGCGTCTTTAGAGGCACGGCTAAACCCGATACTTTCTAGTTCTAGGTCTAGCGTTAGTTCTAGTTTTAGTGCAATAAAAACGTGCAATATAGTGATAACTTATGCTAACTAGCGCTACCTACCACTGTGACTAGAACGAATTCATTGTCATTTTTAATGCTATCAAATATTGAGTTTATTTGTTTAACAAAATTTTATTAAACTCAAAAAGTTTTAATCAGCAAGTTTAATTGTATCGAATATGATAGAATCATCAATAACCACAGAAATAACAAACAACAAAGGAGTGTTAACGACTTGTTTGTAAAATATCACTTTTAATAACAACCAATGTTTACGGTCGAGTCGGATTCGAACAAAATCGCGCTGTATCAAGCAAAATTATTGTTTACAATTTTAATAACTAGCAACACGCGGCAATTTCCCAAGTTGGGTTGGGGCTAGAATAAGCCGTGGCGAAAGAAGTGTAGGTATATACTGAAAACTCTATTCTTAAATTATCGTCGTGATGAGGGAGTTTTTCCCCTCAACGGTGGGCGAAGAGGCGGCGCCGGTTTCCCCGAGAATTAATTAATAAAGGAGAGTGCTAATAACTGTTTGGTATCCGCTGAACCACCATAAAGGATGAATATATCCCTGCGGGTACGTGTGGTGGGCAGAAAACATTGGATGGAGCGCAGCAGACCGCAATACCCATCGGACCTCGCGGTAGTGTTGAGGTCCATTCCCCCCACGTTCGGTTCCTTTTCTCCCCCCCGCGTTCGAGTTCGTCCCTTCTAGGAGCCCAACATGTGCATAAAAGCGGAGAGAGAGCGTATTAAGATTAAAATTCCCGGGCGGCTTCTATTGTATTTATTAAATACCCGGGGGCAGATGTGCTCAATTTTCAGCCGGTACCGGCGTCTAATATAAAAATCTAATATCGGTGGCGGTGGAGGTTCCGTCGTCGTTCGGCTAATAGGGTTCGGGGAGTTTCGGGGGAATTCCCCGAGGATATTCACCGCGCACCGATTTTTAAAATTCGAGGCGATTTTCTATGCCTTCGGACACAGTTCGTTCCCGTTAATAACGGGCAGGTTTTGTTACGCGAGATTCGCATTTAGATTTTGGTTTAAGTAACGTATTTTCTCTTGATTAAATCATTCAATTAATTACCTCATTAAATTTATGATCACAATTTATTATTATTATTACGTTATAATTAAAAAAATTACAATATCAAAATCGCAAAATAATTCATTAAATTTTAATAATATTTGTACGTCAAATTATTAATTAAATATCTGCATCGAACTCATCATTTAATTAAATTTGTATTAAACAAGATAAATCTGTACAATTTTTGTTGTAACATTATCTCTTTTCTATTACAGGAAAATTTATCTACACCAGAATCATCAGAAAACACTGAAGAAGATCAATACTCAGGTAATTAATTTATTTGGATTTTTAATTCACAGCAATAAAATGAATAAAATCAGTATTATTTTTTAAATTAGTTAATTTATGACCTAGACGTGAAGATTACTGCAAAGTTTAATGGAAAAAGTTTCTCGCATAAACCTAATAAGTGCGAAATTTCTTTAGTTAAACGCAATACTGAGTTTATTTCATTTTAAGAAGTTAATATTTTAAAATAAATGTTTAAATAAAACTTCTCAATGATTATCAAAATCACAATTTTTAATTGACTAAATTAATTCGTTATAAGTTTTAATATAGAGTGAATTTCAGTTAAGATGCAATATATAAAAATACATTTCCATAGAAACCTACTTGCTTTATCCCACATAAAATGCAACTTGTCAATATAATTTGACAAGAAATTGAAACTAGACTAACACTAGCATTAGAACTAACACTAGATCTAGAACTAGAAGCATTCCGTTTAGCCGTGCGTCTCTTAAGATGACTAAACCTGAATGTTTCTAGTTCTAGGTCTAATGTTAGTTCTAGTGACAGTGGTAGCTAGCGCTAGTTAGCATAAGATATCAATGTTGCATATTTTTATTGCACTAAAACTAGAACTAACATTAGACCTAGAACTAGAAAGTATTGGGTTTAGCCGTGCGTCTAAAGACGCGTCTAACTTTTACACTAGAACTAACACAAGACCTAGAACTAGAATCATTCGGGTTTAGCCGTCTTGAGAGACTTGCGGCTAAACCCGAATGTTTCTAGTTCTAGGTCTAGTGTTAGCTCTAGTTTTGCACTAGCACCATTACTGGAACTAGAAACAATCCAATTTAGCCGCACGTCACTCAAGACGGCTAAACCCAAATGATTCTAGTTCTAGGTCTTGTGTTAGTTCTAGTTTTAATTGTTATTTAGCGTCAGATTTTTATTGAACGAAAAGTAGAACTAACACTAGACCTAAAACTAGAAACATTCGGGTTTAGCCGTGCGTCTCTTAAAACAGTCGTAAACTCAGGGTTATCATAAGGACGTTACCTTTTTCCAAGCAAAACTTTTCCTTTGCAAAACTACCCTATGTCTGTACAGGGTGTCCAAATTTCGATGTGTTTGTAGGGTATCTCAGTTATTATGAAAGATAGAATGTTGCGGCTTTCGCGAACCTTAGCTACTTTTTTGTGAAACTTACAATAGCGCAAACCAAATTTTCATAGCCCTCTTCGTTTTTGATATACAGGGAGTGTTTCAAAATTTGTTTTATCTCGGCTATCCGGAAACCTAAAAACGGGTTCTAATAGATTTTTTCACGTAGAATTTTTCTAGTCATCACGGTTTTTGTGTTATAAAGAGTTAAGTATTTTAGAAGTTGAGTATTCAGTGTTTGAGTTGTGTTTATAACTCAAAAACCGTGATGACTAGAAAAATTCTACGTGCACCATTGGATTCCACGTGAAAAAATCTCTTAGAACCAGTTTTTACTTTTTTACTAAGTTTCCGGATAGCCGAGATACAGGAGATGTCTGAAAATCGTAAGTTTCAAACACTCCCTGTATATCAAAAACGAAGAGGGCTATGAAAATATGGTTTGCGCCATTGTAAGTTTCACAAAAAAGTAGCTCAGGTTCGCGAGCTGAGATACAATGCAAACCCATCGAAATTTGGACACCCTGTACTATTATTAATGTTGGATTTTATGTGGGACAGTGCAAGTCCATAGTCACTATGGTTACTGCATTCGTATATTGCGAGTTATATGAAATTCCTGGTATATTTGTATACAGGTGTCCCGAAAAGGGGTACAGAAAATAGTACCACCAATGGATTCTTTGGGTTAAAAAATTAAGATTGAGTCCAAAAAGTATATTGAAAAAGCGTCTCGTTTGGCAATTATTGATGGTCAAAGTTTTTGAAAAAAATCCTATTTTTTGCTATGTTAAGATAATATCTCAACAGACTTTAATGAGATTCACGGTGTATTTCTTTATCAGTAGGAGGCATGTTTTGATGTAACATTCATGTTTATCCGCAATGGGCAAGTAGTAAGTTCTTCACCATCACCGCTTACCAATTAGCAAAACTTTTTATTGATTTGAACTCTTGAAAAAATGTTTTCTCTTTCTGATCTGAAACACAAATTTTCCATTACTGCGGTAGGTATCCTAGTAGGTGCTGATATAATTGCATTCAAAACGTCATGAAAATTAATCAAAATCTCTTGACATTAGTTTGACACCTAATAAGAATGTCTTTTTCTAATGAAGAACTATGGTTACTACTGGTTACTGGTTACTACTAACGATATGGCTAAACGAAACACTTTTTTCCTATACTTTTTTAAGCCAATCTTATACTTTTGAACCAAAGGATCTCGTGATGCCATTTTCTGTACTTCTTTTCTGGACACCTGTATATATTAATAAATATATAATATATTTATATTAATAAATTTTGATAAATATTGAAGGTTTAATAATTAACCCAAAATTCTCAATTATTAAAACTATTGCAAATTTATGATATTGCAAAATAAAAATTTGAATTATAACGAAATCGAAAAAAACGCTACAACACATACGATAGATATCGCGTGTCAGCAGGGTTGGTTGATTTATTTTTTTTTTTCTGTCGGTACTTTTGTTTTGACGCTCTGCTGGATTGGGATTTGCAACGAATTTCAAATTTTCGGGGCCAACGGTAACAAAAAAAAAGAAACGTTCCAAAAATAAAATATTTATAAAATACGATTTTTTCGTTTCAATATTCATTCAGCATCTCTCAATTCGGCGGGATTGAGCGCCCACGATTTTTTTTTTGTGCGTTCCATTTTTTTTTTTTTTATTTTGCCTGCGGAGTATTTATTTTCGGTGCAACTGCTGAAAAAAAAAAATAACAAAAAAAACAGGACGGCACTGAAAAAAAAAAGTTTTGAAATAAACGGAAAATGCGAAATCCATGTTTTTGTTATCCATATATTTTTTTTTATCTTGAAAGATATTAAAATCGATTTTTTTTTATCACAAACTATCGTTAGTTGCTAGATATTAGTTAAAACTAATAATTGTAACAAAAAAATAAACCGGTGGAATTAAATCAAAAATTTTAATCAAATTTTAATCGAGGAGATTTGTTACACTGAATCTTTCTATTAAAACACTGTTTGTCGTTTCGGACACCATTTAGACAGTTTTGCAAGATTCTGGCGACAAAACTTTAAGACATCCATCCCACCAAAGTCTCTGCAAAATCTTGACTTGATGCAAAAAGAGCTTTATGTAGAACAAGAAAGAGAATTGACATAGTTGTCCTATTTGCAGACAAAGTCAAAGGTAGCCATTGTGATGATGGACAGATAGGAATGCGAGGACAAGATTAATGTTGTATTAGATTCAGACAGCCACAAGAAAATTAAAAATGATCACACGGATTAAATAGTAAGGACCTAATTAAGTTGAAGGATAATTCACTTTAGGAACAAAAAAAATGGTTATACAAGCAAGGATATGATTTGCCAAAAATCTGCAATCCAGTTATCCCACTACGACCTATTGTAAGCGCATTTAATTCTGTTTGCAAAATACGTTGCCAAAGTATTATTGCTCTTTGAAGGAAACACGTACTAACACGTTAAGGGTTTAACACATTTTTGAAATTAATTGGCTATATTTTTCTGGATCCATAACACGGCAAAAAGATGCTTTTCTTGAGACGATTTCTTAAGTCATTTAAACAGCTAACATTAAATGATACAGTTAGTCATGTGGAAGAAAAAGATAATCAATAATAGATAAATCGTACATCGAGGAAAACACAAAATAAATATGTAAAGCTTTATCACACCAACATCTACAACAGAAACTGTTCGCAATTAGTGAATAGTGATTAGTTCATTAATTAGTTAACAATTGGTTACTAGAGTCGATTTGCCAGCGATTTTTCAATTTTGAACTTGTTTCTGAAGAAGTTGGCTTCAACAAAACATCAAACTGTACTTTAATAGATGACCGACAGAACCAGTTTTCGAATTTATTTCTAGTTCAAATTAAATTGATCACAAATTCTGCTCATCTCGTTTTTTGCAAGAATTTCAGAGAAACCTGCTTTCGAAAGAAATGGAATAAGATAAATATATTTTTTCGTATTTGCAATTTCACCCCGATTTTTGCAAGAATTCAAGGATAACTGACTTTCTACAGAAATAAGGAAGGTCAAAAGTTTTTTTTCCATATTTATACTTTTAAAGATGACGAGAAATTCGATACAGTTCAAATTAGATTGATCAAAAATTCTGTTCATCCCGATTTTTGGAAAAACCCAAGGAAAACTGATTTTATAGAAATAAGAAAGCTAAAGCATGTTCTTTCATGTTGGTACTTGCAGAGATGACGAAGAATACGATGCAGTTCTAATTAGATTGATCAAAAATTTTGCTCACCCCGACTTTTGCAAAAATTTTTATTCCTATATTTATACTATTAGATATGATGAAAAATATCGGATTAAAAATTGCTCATGCCGATTTTTGCAAGAATTTCTGATGAACCTCTTTTTTCAAAGAAATGGAAAACCACAAATATAGCTTTTTTCATATTTGCAATTTCACTCCGAGGTTTGCAAAAATTCCAGGAAAACTGAAAATAAGAAAGGATAAGAAAAAATAAGAAAATTTTTCAATTTTTGTACTTGTATTATGACGAAGAATATAATGCAGTTCAAATAGATTGATCAAAATGTTTGCTCATCCCGCATTTTGTAAAAATTCAAGGAAGAATTTCCATATTGTTACTTGTAGAGATGACAAGGAATACGACGCAGGTAAAACTAGATTGAGCAATTCTGCCGCCTCGACTTTTGTAAAAATTCTTTTTCCATATATGTACTATTAGATTATGATGGGAAATATCAGATGAATGATTGTTCATGCCGATTTTTGCAAGAATTCAAGGAAAACTGACTTTACGATAATAAAAGGGGGAAAAGCATTTCATTCATGTTGGTACTTGTAGAGATGACGAAGACTACGATGCAGTTCAAATTAAATTAATCAAAAATTCTGCTAACCCCGCATTTTGCAAAAATTCAGGAAAAACTGCCTTTTTACGTTAAATTAGGACAGAGCAAAAGTTTTTTTTCCCATATTGTTACTTGTAGAGATGACGAAGAATACGATGCAATTCAAATTAGATTGATCCAAAATTCTGGCTCACCCCGACTTTTGCAAAAATTTGTTTTTCCATATTTGTACTATTAGATATGATGAGAAATATCAGATTAAAAATCGCTCATGCCGATTTTTGTTAGAATTTCTGCAATTTCACTTCGGTTTTTGCAAAAATTGAAGGAAAATGGAGGTTACAGAAATAAGAAACGCCTGAAGCATTTTCTTTCATGGTGGTACTTGTAAAGATGACGACGAATACGATGCAATTCAAATTAGATTGATCCAAAATTCTGGCTCACCCCGCATTTTGCAAAAAGTCAAGGAAAATTAACTTTCGACTACTTCTACTAACTTTCGACTACTAACGACTTTTCCAAAAATTTGTTTTTCCATATTTGTACTATTAGATATGACGAGAAATATCAGATTAAAAATTGCTTATGACGAGTTTTGCAAGAATTTCTGAGAAACCTCTTTTTTCAAAGAAATAGAAAAAAAAGCAAATATATTTTTCTCCATATTTGCAACTTTAGATGTGAAGAGGAATGACACAATAGAAATTAAATTGATCAATAATTCTGTTTTGCAAAAATTCAAGGAAAACCTGTTTCCCAAAAAGATGAAAAATGATACATAATTTATCCTATATTTGCTCTTTTGAAGTCAGTGACGAATGCGTTGCAGTTCAAATGAAATTGATCAGAAAGTCTGTTCACTTCGAAATTTGTAAACAGTGCAAAAATCCTGTCTTTCCGAGATCTAAACTTTTTAATGAGTAGAGGTTTTCATCTACTCATTAAAAAGTTTACACAAGGCAGAGGAATTCTTCTTTACCTAGTTTTAGTTTATTTCATCATCAACATTTCGCTTTTGCATGTAAATGCCCAACTTTATCTCACTGTGGTTACACTTGAATTTTTTGTTAACGAATGTTATACACATCATTTGTTAATGTAAGGAGAAAAATCGAATGTATCTATCAGAATACACTCAACTCAAGTGTTTTGTCACTATTTCGGAATTGTTATAAAGCACCTTCTAAGAAATGGCATACTTGGGATTTCAAAAAATCCTGATCAATTAAAATTACAGTTCAAAGAAGAAGCGTTTAAAAAGTCTAAAGTATCCATCAAGTCCAAGATTTCGTTAACTATACTCATTATCAACAGCTCAAAATCATCCAACATACCATATTCAGAAATGTGTTGTTTATGAATTGACTTCATTAGTTTTCTCTTCGCATATACTTAATGTAATGTTTCGCTGCCACTTAAGGTGAAATTTATAACTTTTAGTCTTCTTTTTGCATAAGAATGCAGAGGTTTGATTTCCAAATTTTTACTACAATCACTACAAAACCTTTCTGGCAAGGTATTAATTTATCGCTACTTTACAACTTAGTAATTTATCTTTTATGCAAATTTTGTAAGAAGAGAAGATGTAGGTTGGAACAGAACTCAAAATAGACTTTTTCTCACTACTATTTGTCCCATTAGTGTCGATGCAATGTGATCAGCCCAATGATCTGAACGTCATAGTGAAGAAATTCAAGCAAGCACATGATAATGTTGAGCAGTGGCTGCGTTATGTTCGGAGACATAACCTGCAAATATGATGGCATGAACAATATGATGACTAGTTGTAGGTTGATATAATATTATGCACTTTTCACTTCAATTACAACCGAGGCCGAAGCACAACAATATGATGATTAGCTTCGGATTGATACAATCTTAATTGCAGAACCTCGGCGACTAGCGTGCTCGACTTAACCAGGACAGGAATGCTACGATGCTTTGTTATAAAGCTGAGGTCGCTTGCGGATAAGACAGTTCAATATTATATCATTTATATTCAATACTAGGTAGGATCACAACTATCCTATCATCTGCTTCATGTGTAAAGGAATCTAATGCAGAAATGTATAGAGGTTGATGGGCGAGATAACACGCATCCTATTAGCCTTAGCTTCTTGTTAACATACTCCCAGTGCAGTTTGGCTCAAGTACGACCATAAACTCCAGTGTGGAGCATTTGGGATTGTAACATCTCCTTAACTATTTGGGTGCATTATCTCCTTACATCTGTGTTGTATTATGATAAAACAATCTTGGAGCCAAAGTTTTGTGTCACCTAGGAAACGTGACAAATGAGTAAGATGTCGAGGAAATAACCCTTCAGCTGCATTGAAACGTTTCTGACTGTGGTTAGACTCTGAGAGGCAAGTAGTAAATAGCTGGAAATTGCACAAATAGAGTTAGTCTCACTAGAGGAGATTAAAAACTTAAGCACTTTTATGATTAATGAATTAATTTCTCGTACTCCATGAGTAACTTATCCATGATTCTCATAATGCTTGATAAGCCATCATTGAAAATATGTGCACCACTCGATACAGATTTACATAGAAGTTTTTATTAATAAGATTCCACTTCTTAGCATATGAAGTGATGTTTTCAAGATGCAGTGATTCTTTTTCAATCAAAATTGTTACAGATCTTTGACAGACGTAAATAAGAGTTTCTATTTTAATATAACTTCAATTTTGTTTTATTAATTAGAACTTTTTTCAATTACGCTTGAAAACGCGTTCTATTATCTACAATGTTTGATTTGTACAATGTTTTGATGAAATGAAATTGATCTTTCTCTATTTATATTTATCTCGTACCAACCCTGCTAATCGGAAATTATCATTAATTGTGCAGGAACCGGAACAATGAAAGACACCGACAAACTCAAGTTGATGCTCTTGGCGTGGAACTACCATAATCAGGCTCAAGGTAAACCAATGACACACACCTAAAATAACATTTTGAGTTTTATGTCCTTATTTCTATGTTAAAATGAAAAGAATCTTATTTATTTTATTAATAAAACAATTAAGAATTAATCTTAATTAAAAAAAAGTTAAAGTAATTAGGATTCTTTTTATTTTTGTTTGCTGTTTTGTGTTTAAGAAAATTAGATGTTGTTCTGTTTGATTTAAAATGAATTTCCTTTGTCTTAGGCAACCGTAACGGTAGTGACACACCCGAAGTTACTCCTGTACCTGAAGATATGGCGGGCATTTGGGCTCAGTACAACTCAGCCCTTGGCTTGGCAAAAGGAAAAGCTACCCCACCCGTTAACCGAGATCCTCCGGTAAGTTTCAAGAGAGCTTCATCTCCCCCTTTGACATTCCTCGCCAAAATACTTACGATACCTACAAAATCTTTTGCAAGAACATAAGAGACATGTTTAAAGTTTACTTCAAAGAGAACCAACGCCTCTGAGAAGTATTGGAGTCGAGCGGTTAAAACTTTTCTTTCATCATGAATTTATAATTAAGAAATATTTTAATAACGAATCATCAAACAATTTATCTTTATAATTAAACTAACATGGTTTGATTAATTTTACCATCAGCTTGAATAAAATTGTATTGCTTCGCTCAAAGTTACCTTTTAAGGTCTGACAGAGAAACAACGCCAAGTCTCTCTACTAATGACTGAATGCAAGTCCTCGATAAAGTAGACTTGTACGTATATGTGTGTGTCTTACAAGGAAAGATACCACCAGCGTTTTCTAACTAATGACTTATCTACGCCCACCAAAGACCCAGCTAAGTCTTTCTTGTATGTGCTTCACTTATTTGAACGCCTCAAGACATTTCTTCGTCGGAGATATTGTTATACGGGTTCGTAATGGCCAGTTAGAAATGTATATTTAGATCTTGTACTTTAAACGCGTTTACCTATTAGTTGTGGTTAAACGAAATAAAAAGAAAACATACTCCCTTAAAATCTTAATTTACTTTTATATTGCTTTAACTTTATAACTAACGTAACATTCAATTATGGTATTGAAGAAGTTGTTTGTGTGTTGCAATCTCATTTTGTGGTTTTATATTAGAGTTAAAACCATGTTTTTTTATGTTTTAGAGGGATAGTTAACTGGTTGTTATTACTATTTCAATTATGTGTTTATGTAATAGAAATAAGATCATATCTTAAGAACGAATTGAGATATTATCCGGATATAAGAATCGTTTTGAAGCAAATTTAATCTAAATTGATACGGATTAATACTGGGAATAATGTCCGTTATAGCCAAAAGATCAAAACACAAAAAAAAATAATCTAGCGCAGAATAAGAACTAAAACTAGAGTTAACACTCATCCGAATGTAGGTAGATAATTAAAAAACATGTAAAATGAGCCCAAACTCGACATATCTAGGTGTTATAACATTCGAGATATCTTTATTTTTATAAAATCAAGATGGCCGAAAACAAAACACTAATAAATTGTGACATCTATGCTTTTAAAAGTGAATTTTATGATAGATATAGGGTGTAATACATCAAATTAAACTAAAATTTTCTGATAATTACGAAAAAAGTGAATATTTTGATAAATTTGAATTTTTTGAAAATTTTTAATTCATTTTGATTCATTTAAATTCAATCTTTTATTATCAAAAGTTGCAAGTTTTGCACTTCTGTTAATTTTAAACGCAAACTGGTAAAGTTGAAACAACTTTAAATACAAATCTAATCATAAACTGCCATTGCTTATTTAGCACTAAATTTTGTAAACTATTTCTATTATATACCGGGTGTCCCTCAAAAGTGGCTCACACCCATATTTTTCTTTATTATTGGTGATATAAGAAAACCATTTGGAATGCATAGTTAGGTCGCTAAAACGGATTATTACGACATGAAATCATTCTTTTTGTACTTCCGGTTATACCGGATGTGAGTACTAATTTCGCTATTTTTTTAAATCTATAATTTTTTTTTCTTCAGTTGGGTTGATAGTATAATTTCACATAACTTTTACTTGAAAAATTTTTAACGATAGCTTATAATTTTTGAAAAAAAAATTATTTTCGTTATTTTATAACGTTTCAGTACCTTCAGAAAATGTATTACAACTTTTGACGCATAGTAGCTAGGTTAATAGTATAAACTACGTTATGTCCCTCTTGATTTGCTATTTCTCGAGCAGTGATCACTGCTATGCATTAGTCAGTGGTTCTTTTTTAATAATGGTGTAAATTAACAGTTGTATTAAATTAGTTTTAAAAGAATAACGCGATCAAACAATTAAGTTATTAAGTACTATGCATTCCAAATGGTTTTCTTATATCACCAATAATAAAGAAAAATATGGGGGTGAGCCACTTTTGAGGGACACCCGGTATAATCGGTTATCTAGAGTAAATACGTGAGTAATAAATACTGTATATGAACTTGAAAATGAATGAGATTGTGTGATGTTTGCGTGAACAAGTCATCATAATCAACAGAAATTTAATAACAGACATCAACTTGAACCTCCAAGTCATCTCAAACCTAGAAACTGGATATATTCTACTTAAATAATTGACTAATTATAAAATGAAGAAAATTAAATTGACCAATTCAATTTGATAAAGTTATTAAATGATAATATTGCAGTAAATACACTTTCTTTTCTATTTAAGAAACAAAAAAGGAAAGAGTACAATTAAAACTTCAACGCTAGATTGTTGTATGTTTTTCATTTAACTAAAACTATAACTAAAACTAGACCTAGAACTATAATTATAGAAACGTTCGGGTTTAGCCGTGTGTCTCTTAAGACAGCTGATAAATAACACCAAAAAAGTTTATAAACAATTGATGATAGAAAAATAAAACAACTGCTACGTGGAATATAGTGCAATCAAGAAACTGGAAAAACAAGGCGCAAGAAACAACATAATTCTCTTCTGGATGCAAATGACCTATCAATTTTTTGTACATAGTGGTAAAAGTCAAACCATCAATATGGAAATAAAAGATCATATTGGGCTCGAGTAAATTGAAGATGAAGAAAAAGGAATACAACTAGAAGAACTCGGAGAAGAAAAAGTGGAAAAGATAATCAAATATGTGATTAAAACAATTACAAAATGATGTTTAGGGGATGACAACGAAGTTAATTCAGAACAAAAACCAATAATAAGAGAAATATTATGTATATTATTAAACGAATGCTTAAGAGAGGAAACTTTTCCAAATGAATTAAAGTATGTAAGAGTCATTTCCATCCAGAAACCTAATGATAAAAGGGAATAAGACCAATAGTACCAATAATGCCAAAAGTTTTCGAAACTGTAATAAAAAACTGAGTCATGAAACATATAACCTAAAAGAAATTAAGAACAAAATATCAACACGGATACCAAAAGAAAAAATCCACAATGCCAGAACTTCTCACTGTAATTCAAAACATAATATGTAGTTGGTTTTGATATGCAAAGTTACAGGCAAGTAGCCTTCTATGATCTTAGCAAGGCTTTTGATTCTGTAGACTATAATATTCTCTTGAAGAACATAAAAAAATTCGGTATAAAAGAAAACGGAAAAAAACTAATCGCTTCTTATCTTCATGATAGACAGCAACAGGTTTATTGGAATCAAACAACATCTAACTGGAGGAAGGTTAGAATGGGAGTACCACATGGTTCCGTGCTGGACAATATTTTATTCTTATTGTATATCACTGACTTGCCTCAAAATATACAGGCTGACTGTGTCTATACGCTGATTACACGTCTTTTATAAATACTTCAAAGGATTTTCAGTTTCAGTCAACAATGGGTTCAAATCAAATTATTTATACTTAAACAGGGAAAGAACACAAGAAGTAAAAAATCAAACGACAAAATTTCTAGGTGTAACATTATATGAAACCCTTTCTTACGAAGATCACATAGTGGAATGAAAAAAGAAATTAGCGGATTCATTATATTGCCTACGAGTGGTATCAAAAATATTGTCTAAAGAAGAAAGAAACGTGTATTTTGCGCACTTTCATAGTATGGAAGTATATGGCATACTCACATGGGAGAATCCACATCAAGAGAATCCGCAGAGATTTTTAAAATGCAAAAAAAGGCAATTAGGATTTTAAAGCAGCTAGGATACAGGGAAAGCTGTAGATGACACTTTAAAAGTTTAAAAGTTTTAACAATACCATCATGTTTTATTGAAGCTTGCTTCCAGCATGTACACGAACTAACAGAAACATTGTAGAGAAATAAAGTCTGTCACGATAATTACGACTCGCGTTTCGGAGATAATTCATCCAGAAATCTTTCATGCAAGGTTCAAAAAAAGAAAGGGCCAAATTTTTTGTATTGTCAAAAGCCGATAGTTGCAAGTCATCACTTTGCAAAAACAAGTATCCCTGAGCGAGCTTCAACTCGATCATGTATATATATAGTATATGTTTTATGCGAGAGAGCACGGCTATTCCGCTCTTCGATGGTGTTTCAGTATGTCTGAAAAGTCGTAGACCCGAGACAGAAGATTATGAGTGTTACAAGGCTGCTACCCCAACACTCTTTAAAATGTATCTGAACGAAGACTAAACAAATGGAGATCATTCCAAGAAATAAGAATACAGCTCACAGCTAACATAATCACTGTTTCCATTTTTATCATAGTCGCTATACAGATGATAGAGTTTCTGGAATTTAGGTATCAAAAAACGATTTTTACTGGGGTGAAGTTTGTTTAATTTATTTGTATTTATTAAACAAAATTCACCACAATAAAAATCGTTTTTTGATACTTATCACTTTTGGTAAAAAAATGGATAATCACCTACAACATTTTTTCAGCAAATATGAAAATTGGGGTCTTACAGTAAATCTTAAGAAGACAAAATATCACCAGTCTGACAATTTGTAAATGCCACACCAAAAAATCTGTTGCTCTTTAGCTCATAATAAATCACACTTTGCTAATCCCACTAAACACAGAGCATTGTCTTCCATCCATAGCGATTTGACCAAAGATCCTTTACGTTTAGAATACTGAAAATATATTCATTTTTTATCGCTAGTTACAATTCGATTGAGAAATGACTTTCTTCTGTACCTGACGAACATGCTGACGGCATGTTGCCAGTGGATTTCCTAATGTCTTTCATTCAGCTCATGTTGAACCCTTTCCCGATCTTGTGAATCTTTCCCATGACCTTGGAGATGAAGGCTTCTCGTGTCATATTTAATTAACGCGCGATTTGTTATTTCGTTTGAGCACCGTCATCATCCAACAATATTTGCAATTCACTGTCTAAAAATGTCTTCTAAAAATTAGCCAAAATCGTCACGTTTGAATATTTTAAACCATCAAAAGCACTGTGATTTATTCACAATAAGCTTTGAAAGACATTCGATGTAATTCTGCAGCAATTTTTTCGTTAAATTATAACAGAATATCAACGCTGTCCGAAAAATAGTAGCTTCCAGGCACAAAATTCAATATGTTCAACGCATTCATAAATCATTAATATGGTGTTATATGAAACTAGTACCATTGTCTCGTAATCTTCGTCATGTGTCAACTAATAGAAATGGAGCCAATGATGCGGTTTAATTGTTATTACATTGACAGTTAGGGCCATCCATGGGCAAATTCCGGTTTCTTATTTACACACATGGTAGTTATTTTGGAACAACAATAACAACGGGTTGGGTTGCAGAACACGAAAGAATGAAAAACAATTTTAAAAGTGAATCTTTGCAGTTAACAAAGAACCTTGACCAAAAATTATTAGCGCAGAGACGAAGATCATATAGTAATAGAGGACACTCAACAAAAACAGCTAATTTGGTACGAACACATTGAGAGATTGCCAGAGCAAAGAATTTCAAAACTTGCTTTTCCAACGGTTATCTGGGTAAACAAGTTTCAGAGGGAAGTGTCGAAGAGAAATCTGAGACAAAGAGACTGGAAGGATAGAAGAAGATAGATGTTTATTGTATTGAGGCAAATATCCGCTGTTTGGAAGCCACCAACAACAACCTTTATACAAATAATATGATGTACCGAGCTGTACAACGCTCTCAGCATGACTAAGATGTCATAACAAAGCAATGTGATGAATAGTCTGGTTGATATGATATTAATTGTAAAACCTCGCCAGCTAGCGACCTTGGCTTAATCACACAATGATATATTTTATATATAAAGTTATACCGAGGTCGCTTACAGCCGAGGCGCTACATATATAACATACAAAACTACAAAATTTTTAAGGATTTACATCCTAATTAAGGCAAAGTCGCTTGCAACCGAGGCGATACATTTTTAACATATCGATACTAATCCACATGATTTCTAAAGATTTATATTCTAATTAAGCCAAGGTCGTTTGCGGACGAGACGCTACATCTATAACATATCGATACCACAGAATAACCAGAAATGACACTGACGTCGATTCGTTTGATGTTGACGGCACCTCGTTTTGTGACCTCGAAAATCCGCCATTTTATCACGAGTTACCACAGAATCAAGGTCCGTTGAGTAAACATACTGTATAAGGTTATCCAACTCCCTATGAACGCTGTTGTTATGAACGTATCCGTCTTTAGAGACGTGCGATTCTAGTTCTAGGTATAGTGTTACTTTTAGTGATAGTACTAGCGTAAAACTAGAACTAACACTACACTTAGAACTAGAATCATTCGGGTTTAGCCGTCTTTAGAGACGTGCGGCTAAACCCAAATGATTCTAGTTCCAGGTATAGTGTTAATTCTACGTAATAACAGTGCTAGTGTAAAACTAGAACTAACACTATACCTAGAAATAGAAAGTTTCGGGTTTAGCCGTGCGTCTAAAACCCGAAACTTTCTAGTTCTAGGTATAGTTTTAGTTCTAGTTTTAATTATTATGCAGTGCTAGACTTAGAACTAGAATCATTCGGGTTTAGTCATCTTAAGAGACGTACGGCTAAACCCAAATGTTTCTAGTTCTAGGTCTAATGTTAGTTCTAGTGACAATGCAAGTGTAAAACTAGAACTAACACTATACCTAGAACTAGAATCATTCAGGTTTAGCCGTCTTTAGAGACGTGTGGCTAAACCCAGATGATTCTAGTTCTAGGTTTAGTGTTAATTCTACTTTTAATTGTTATTAAGCGCTAGATAGTTGTATATTTTTATTGAAGTAGTTGAAAGGTTAAATATACGTATTAGAAAACTACGTATATTAGATTATATAGTAGAACTAGAATCATTTAGGTTTAGCCGTCTTAAGAGACTTGAACTAGAAGTGACACTAGCGGTATCCCGCCAAATCTTTACCACCAATAGCAACATACCTTGGTTACTCTGGTTATTCTGTGTCGATACTAAACTATATGATTTCTAGGGTTTTTTGTGCTAATTAATCCGAGTTTACTAGCGGCTATAGCGCTACATCGATCTCTTATCAATATAGTTACTCAATTTTCAACAATATATATCATCAGCAAACCGAGGTCGAATAAGTAGCATTGCTTCGACCTCGGCTTACTCAAGTAATCTCACATACTCTTCGTTTAAAGATGAGCCAAGGTCACTTGCGGCCGAGGCGCTATAACACAGGTTAACTTGATTCGTATTGATATGGTAATATTTGTAACGCTCTTGTGTACGCACCGTTTAAAGAAATTCCAAACGCAGCTGTTATCGTGGCGAGCAGTTAAAAATAAATAGGAATTAAATTCCGTTTATCATGAAATTCTTATAAAATTAATCACTTGTATTCAAATTCCTCCACTAGTAAAAAAAAGGTAAGAAATTAACATAGCGTTTAATGTACAAGTAATTGACATAAATGAATACGATCTAATTAATCACTGCGTGTTGAACACGTGACACGCACACGGTTTTACCTACAGAATAACGGTATCGGCGACAAATGTTCCGTGGTAAATGACAGCGAGTAACATCTGCAAAGAACGAATGAACGGAACACGGGCTGGAGAAAAGATGCGCGTTCCTAATCGCGGTTTATCGCCCGATTTTTTTATTTCAGTGCCACTTTTATTGGCAAAACGTTCCCATCGGAGGGATTTATCGAGACGCGACCCTGTATGGTCTCTCTTTTCTCTGTTGAAACGACCGATAATTCACCATCGTCGGCGGCAGCGGGAATAAGGTAGTTGTGCCGCCGCCGAGTCATCTGGGTTAAAAGAAGCCTTCGTTCTTTCCTTGGAATCTCGATTTCCCATAGAACGTCGTCGATCGTCTTCTTCTTATACAATGGACAACCTTGGATTGACACAGCTGTTTACCGCGTTAACGTTACCTTAATAATACCTGCATAAAGTCTAACGTTAAATTATTCTTATAGGCCTCTTTAGAAACGTTTTTTGTTTCTCTTTGTATACTTTTTTAGTGTAGTAGCAAAAAATTTAATAAACACTTTTTTTTTGTTATTTCAGAGTCCTGTTAATGCGGAAACTGGATCTGCACATGATGAAACTAGTTCTAGTGGTAACAAGGACGATGAGGATGATGATGACGATGAGAGTGATGATAAAATTGATACTCAAACTCACGATCCTGAACGACTCAAAGCTTTTAATGTAAGAAAATTTGATTTAATAATTGTACTTTGTTAAAAAAAGAATTGTTATTGAAGCTGTTTCAACAACACATTTTTTTTTTTTTTTTGAGACAAAGAAGTATTTGGTCGTTACACTGCGATACGATCGTTTTTAATATCGGCTATAACAATAGTTTTACGGTCCAAAACAAGAAACTTCCACCTTATGTGCGATTGTAGAACGTCGTCGCTAGAAGTGCCTTTATTTGTACGTTTATAAAACCACTCGGGGATTGGCGAAATTAAAGTTTTGCCGGCCCCCGGTCTATGAGCAAAAGCACAAATCGATTCGCCATTTTACGGCTGGTCGTTATAAAACTTGTAATATCGAAATTTTACCGTTTTGTTTTATCACCAACATTTTTACATTTGCCATTTTACTGTCTTGTTTTTGTATTATACTTTTATTTCATTTATTTAACACAAAAAAATCAAACTTTTCTTCTGATGATATTTATCAGATTTATGCTCAACCAGCAATAAGCTTTCGTGGCATCACGCAAGTTCCGGTCGATAGTTTAAGAACGAGAGAGGGTAAATGGAAATTCAGTAAAGCTTATGGGCATTAGGTTGGATATAGTATATCCCGTTCTCTAATAGGCATTGACACTCCAACAACATCCTATTAGACAAAGCGCGCAACAAGTGTGTTTACCATTAAAGTGGTTTTAGCTTAATCGATCCAAATTGAGAGAATTCACTTTGCAAATGACATTATTAATTTTTCTTTATAGATGTTCGTTAGATTATTTGTCGACGAAAACTTGGATAGAATGGTTCCGATTAGCAAACAACCAAAAGAAAAAATACAAGCAATCATCGATTCTTGTACACGACAATTTCCCGAATTTGCCGAAAGAGCACGAAAACGTATTCGGACTTACCTAAAATCGTGCAGGCGAAATAAAAGGGCGAGAGATCCTAACTCACCATGGGATGCTGTGAGTAAACGAAATTTCTTATCTTATAAGATAACAATAGATTTCGCATTTCGCCGCTTTTAATTTTAATCTTCGAAAATGTAACCTGCAGTTTGATTTTTTTCAGACACGACCAACTCCGGCTCACCTCACTTCAGTACAGGCTGAACAAATTTTGGCTACAGCCTGCGAAAACGAAAGCCATAACGCGAAACGGATGCGATTAGGCTTGGAACCAGTTAGTCAACCTATGCCACTACCTCCAGGATCAACAGTAAGTTGATTAAATAAATTGGTACTAAAACAAAGCTGATTTATAAGATTTTAAAGAATTTGATTTAGCTAGAGATACAATTGATTTCTTTTTTTTTAGTCAACTGATACAACAGCGCCCATAAGTAGAGGTTTAGACTTTAGCGGATCAACGCCTATAAAAATAGAAGCGGAATCGGTTTCCAGTGTATTTCCACCGTCGACAACACCTTCAACAACGCCCAATTCGGTTACGAAAGGGATGTCGTTAACGCCGGACATAAAACCAAATTTAAAGTGAGTATTAATTCTTTAAATTTAATACAAGAAATATCAAACGCATTTAAAGTTACGACTTGAATTGCAATTGTAATACAAGCATAAAATAGCTGCCCAAAGTTCTTTGAGTTGCAGTTCTTTTAGTTGCAGTTCTTTTCTTTGTAGATTTTTTATAGCCAGCATATGCATTTGATAGATTTGCATTAACTTTTGAAGTTCTTTCAAACTTACTATCATGTTTTTCAAAAAAAGCCATTGCTTTGTGAAGGTGCTCAAACGCTTGTAGAAGTATTTTCGTTGTCAAACCTTCAAATAGTTCAATATTATTACCTTCCCTGTTGACTTCTTCTTGTGTTTCAAAATTTAACAAATCTTCGTTGGTGATCTAGCTCTTTTGCCATTTCTTCAATATTGCCCATTATTATGGTTGTGTATTATGGTCACTGACGTTTTCATTGCCGTTGCAATCACTATCTATCCCTACACATAACCTTTTCAAAGTTTTCTGTATTGTTATTTCCTTAATATCTTTCCAGCATCTATTTTAATATACTCTAAAATGTGGAAACTCTTCCAAGTTCCTAAGATCTCACGGTCCCTGCCTTCTTCATTATCTATTGCCTAAAAGACATCTTACAGTGACTAAAAGATAATATTAATTGATAATAGTAAAATTTTAAGCGGAATCTTAATGTTTTTGCAATACGCAGTAACCTCAGGTACAAAACAGCATTTAGACCAGTCTTGAAAAATGATCTTTTTTGTTTGATCTTCTGTACACAGGAAGGCTAGACTTGTCATAGTTTTTCAGGGCTCTAGGGTTTTCGCTTTGGTAAATTAACATTGGTTTCAGTTTTATAATCCCCGAGGCGTTACTGCCCAATAAATGTATTATTCTGTGTTTTGCTGCTTTGTAACTTGGAATAGACTCATCTTCTTTAGCGATAAATGTTCTTGTAGGCATTTTTTTCCAAAACAAACCTGTCTCATCAACATTAAAAATCTAATCAAGAGTACAGCCCTCCTCTCTTATAATTTTTTCAACGAATTTAGCTGCACTTTCAGTGTCTGCAGCACCTGCTTTCCCTTGCACTTTGATGTTATGTAAATTTAACATCTTCTTAAACTTTTCAAACCATCCATGACTAGCTACAAATTTGATATCTTCCGTTGTTTCCCCTTTCTTGGCTTTTAAATCATTAAAAAAACTGTCAGCTTTATATTATATAGCCGACTTGTCTTATTTTCTATCCACATTAATACTATTGAGACTACGACAACGCACTGAAGATGCCAAGTGAGATCTTGGCGAAACCTCTGCCCTTTTCCAAAGGGAACCAACAAGAGGAATGGATGATATCTCAGACCGACCACAGCAACACATACTTCTCCATCCGTGAAGCACTACGCATTAATATTAATAATAATCTTTCCATATCTGAAATAATTGCATCTCTTTTTCTAATAACTGTTGTTTTAATTGGTGTACCACTCTTTATTTCATCAACAATGTTATTAATTGTAGTTTTTGAAAAACATTGAGCTTTTAATAAGACTTAATGAAAGCCTGAATATCAGCACACAAACAATTGTCATCGAATTAATTACGATTGGATGCTGAGAAATCTTTTATTGTTTCTATCTTGTCGTCTTCTATACACCACAATTAACTTGTTACTACACTAAAGATGGTACTTGCAAACTGCCACAGTTACCATTTCAGGTGCTTAACTTCAAATATTTCCTGCTAATCCAAACCGTACTAATTTGGACATATTGAGGTAAACCTAATATTGAATAATGTTCTCACCTACCTATATCCCGGGAATTTATAAGTTGCAATGGGACATATTTTGTTGCGCAAGAGCAAAGTAATCAGTGTAGTGAAAACGCATCAAGCATACTAAAATTTTAGCCACCTAAAACTAAACCCAACCCAACCCAACCCCAAATTATTGTTTAAATGACATTAAAATATTTTGAATTCAACCCAAACTCATTTTCTCGTATTTGAGAAACAAGCAACCGAGATCCGACTCAACACGGCGGTACTACGATAAGATGTTCTACTCAGCGATTTATGCCTCAAGGCAGGTCTGAATTTTCCTCTCTGCACGTTTTTTAACCATCATAGTCGGTCTCATGACCTTTGTCAATGCATCCACTCTCATTTCCTCTTCTATCAGTAAATGTGTTTCCACCCTCATGGCTCTTCTATGAGGAGTTCAATCCTCTTCTTTTCCTCCACGAACCTAATGCAATGGAAGATGAGGTGCTCAAGAGTGTTGCCGCATCCAAAATTGCATCCATCAATTTCAAGCTTTAATTTCGTGATCATGATCGCATGGATTTTTGTAGCACCCAGCTAATCTCGTGTATTGTTGCCATCGTTTAACTACTTTTCTGTCATCTGCTGGTTCATGTCTGTTTTAATGCCTCCTTTATTCTCCCAGTTCTTTCCTCTCTCCCAAACTAGGAAGTCCAATGATGGGTATCCCGTTAAAGCGTCAACCGTGCCTTAGGATGTTTATGTATTTTTTATATATCAAGATCGTTTGATCCTCGGCATCAAGCTGGATAGCAAATTTTGAATCTACGTTGCTCTTTGAAATATAGAGTTCAAGCGGGCTGTCATTCTGAGATCTTTGCCCAGAGTTACCACTTTAATGGTAATATCGGTGAGTTTCTTTCTCCCCCGTTTCTGATTCTGCCTTTTTGACGCCCATATTTGTTACGCATTCCACGACTATTTTGATGCACTACTAGGCTTTGTCAATAATTGCATCTTATGTCACTATATCATTTGCATAGCCTACGAATCTAATTCTTTCCTTTTGCGTTAAGGATAGGATTTCATTGTAGTATGTGCTAGCCACAACTGATCATTGTCTCCGTTCTCCATTTTGGAGGAGACTCGTCCTCTGCAAGCATGTCCACAAGAGGCTTTGCTCCTAATTGCTCAAAGATGAATTTTAGGTAGTTCCAAGAAACTGTGTTAAACGCGTTCCTGATGTCAATCATGACCACAACACGAAATTTTTTGTGCTGGAGACAATTTACATATCTTCGGAGAGCTGCAGTCCTCAAGCAATCATTAAAGACATGCAGGAAGGCTTCGCTTCAACGCAGGCTTTAAGTACTTTGTTAGTCCCTTCATCTCCAACACCTTGTTAAAGCGATCATCCTGCCGTAATGGTGGTTCTCTTCTAATGACTTCTTCCAAGACTGTTGAAAAGCTTATACTGCGTTTATAACACGAGTTCTTGATAAGGAATCACTTTCAGACCTCTACTTTTAGCGAAGGTGGGTTGCGGCCGAGGCAGATTAACATATGTTTTGAGATCTTGCTTGCAACCGAGGTAGAATAACTTAACCCTTGAAACAGATAGAAGTAGAGATCAGTTGCGACCAAGAAACTATAACTTAAAACATTAAAAAGTTAGTAGCCGAAGTCGCATGTAGCCGAGTTTTATCACTTTCTTTCCTTCAAGCTTCTCCGCCCGTCCCGAGTTTGCTACTTTTTTCTCTTCCTCCTTTTTCTTTGAATCCTGTACATTTTCTTGTGTAGTCTCCTCTGTTTCCATTCATTCGATTCTATCTTGTCTCTCCTTTTCCTGTTCTTCCACCAGCTGACTTTCTGTTTTCATCTGCTCCTATTAATGTTGCCTTTTAGGAGATAGGAAGGAGTTATCCCCTCTTGTATTCACTCTGTGTCGAACAATTTCATAATCTAAATTTTTGTTCGATCGTGCACTCTTTTTTTAGATGCTCTTTCCTCCCGTAATTATAGCAATAGGTACTTCGATTTTCCCTTCTGCAGTACTTGGTAAAGTCTGATGGTGATCAATATCTTGAAAGTTAATCCTACACCTTAGCCTTTTTCCATTCGTGAATATTAGCTTCATCTCCTTTTTACTAGTTCCTACTGTGATTGCACGCGTGTATTTGGCATATGGTCTTAATTTGTTCAATTTAAATTCTATGTTGCCTCCAGGTCTCTTCCTTATTGCGTCTTTTATCTCATTGATCTTTGTTGCTGTGGCCATTCCTTTTATAATTATTGTTTTTTTTCTTTTATCTCTTATTCCTGTCGTCGTTATGCTTCTGGGTCAGCGAGAAAATTTAGAATACGGAACGATTACTTTTTCTTCATTCCAATAATTAAATAAAAATCAATCAAAACTCGCTCCAATCAACGATATCCGCCTCAACTAAAATTAACGACGTAATCGATAACGACAATAATTATCACCACCGTTTTAACAATTAATCTGATTTTGATTGGTATCTGGTAATATTCATTAAAGCGTCAAGAACGACATCTATAAATCTAATCAATTCCTCGTCGTCATATAAATAGGTAAAAAAGAGAAGGATTAAAAATAGAAGAGAGTAAATAAGAAATCTCACATGATCATTTATCGGTTGAATCCGATGATCTGTGGCTACTCTCAAAAGGCATTTAATTATTTATAAGAGATAATCGGATCGAGGAAAAGAGTTTAATTGCTGCATATACATCAATTAATTTTCCAATAACGACGATATTAAATTTACAAATAGAATTACACACGGATCATTGGCTTACCGTTAAACCACCGCCGCCACCATCATCGTTGCTGCCGCTACCACCGGCTGTTCGGTTCATCCGTTCGTCTGACGAACGAATGAGAGGTCGATTCCGACGCCAGGCGTCAATTCCAACATCACGACGCCCTTGTCTATGGAATCCTTGGACCTTGAATAAAATTGTTGAATTTGTTAATTAAAACAGTGGTTACAAAGAGAATGTTGTGGAAGAAAAGGACTTTTAAAGTGTTTCTAAAAAAAACTTTTTCCATAGAAAAACTATTTCATAATGCACGAAGAAACCTCGATAAAACGAAAAGATTACAAACCTTATATAAATAATTTTATCGGCGGAAAATCGTAAAATTTCTAACGACCACCCGTAAAATTCGTGCATCGCGGCGAAAAGGGGGTGGTGTACAGGAAGGTTGTAATTTAAGTTGCGTTTC